AAAGCAGGCGGTGTGCGCGCTCGTCAACAGGGACTGAGCTGGCAGACGCGATACTGTACTGAGCGTGCAATTGCAGTACAAGCTATTTCAATACATGCAGGGAATTCGCGAGTCGGCGGATTCCAGCCGCCCGCGCCGGGGTGGCCGCCGTGAAGCGTCGCGTGCCCCGTGAGGTCAATCTGCTTATAGCGACAGAAACTTAACTATGGCAGCGATGCGATACAATATGAACGATGAATTGTTTTTGAACCTTTGTCACATAAAATCAGAAATCGATTTGATTAAACTCAATACATATTTATAAATTAATACTTTAACTGCCAAGTTTAAAATGGTGAAAGTCAAACCTCCACTAGCGTCAGGCACCGGTGACTGACGTGGCGCTCTAAGGGTTAATTATGTTTTCTCATACGAATAATATTGTGTCTATAGTAACTAACGTCTGCATTAAATTGCACAGCAATAAAATGAAGGTCATTTCCATTAATGATGACAAGACAAGCATGCAATTCAATAACAAATGAGGACTTTGAACTGTTTTGTCTCTAGATATACTGTCCAATAAGCCAATAATTAACCATTATTCCAGGTAATAAAACAATTGATCAAATAAAAGTAATTCTTTTTGAACTGACGATATTTTTGTGCCTAGTACCTTTTATATCGAAAATATTTATTCTGATATTTTTCGTTCCCAAAAATACAACAGGTACGTATACGTTAATGTTGATTAGTGGCTTATGGTTTTGACGGGCGAGAGCAGCCGAGTGTACCGGGAAGGTACGTGCGGAAAGGTGTGGATTACAGTGAGGGCGATATAGTGGTCAGTTTCCGCGTGAGGGCGCACATCCTGGGATGAGGTCACACGCTCTGTGAACACGACACTATACATCTATCGTATAAGAGCACACATTACTTGTCCAGGTACAGATACAGTCTACATACTCTTACTCGTTGAGGGGTATTTATAAATTCTCAAAACTATGACAAACATCTTTACTAGTCTTTACTAATATTATAAATTGGAAAGTGAGTTCGTTTGTTTGTTCCGCTTTCACGCCGTAACTACTAAACCGATTGCTTTGAATTTTTTCAGACGTAAATTTAGAAGTCTGGATTAAATAATAGGGTACTTTTTACCCCGGAAAAATTTATATTCCGGAGGGAAAACAAAAGTATTGGTATAGATGGCGCTGTGTGTATTGGTATATGTCACATAGGCTACTTTTTATCCTTTTGTGACGCGAGCGAAGCCGCGGGTAAAAGCTAGTTCGTTAGGACCAGATAAAAACTGAACAAAATCGCTAATCCTCTGAAACAAGCATAACTCATACATTTGAGGATGAATGTTTAAAAATGTGACTGTACCTACAGGACATTCATCATAATCTCGCATTCCGAGCATATTTATTAGTAAATAACTGATATACAACGAGGGGGGGGGGGGGTAATATTAACAGGATTTAGTTATCTTGACTTTTGAATAACAGCATTGACAACTTTTTTATGTTTCAAACTCGTGCAGTTCATCTGCAAACAATGGCTCCCTCGGTGACTTATATTGCTGTTTGCTATAACTCCAGACTTCGTTCATGGAAAGTTGTAAGTAACAAAAAATGTTGGAAGTAATAACCACATAAGGACAAATGAGCAAAATTTACATTTAGGTACAAACACACACATAAGCTGACGCCTGTATCTGTAGAGACTTTGGCACGCCAATTGCTACGATTCTTACATATCTCTTTCGCTTCATCAAAATTCATCAGTCTTCATGCATGTTCCTCGTCGGCTAAGACTAATTTTAATTGGGCCCTTCTTTAATATATTGCCAAATCAACCACACCATAATATATTTATCATTCCTGTGATTTACTTTTAACTTATCTCAGCATTTTCCTCATGCACATCACATAGACTGGGTATGAAACAAACTGTTTTTCCTATCTATGTGTGTCCATTCATGAGATTTTCGTTCTTATTCTCACTATCAGAGGGTTCATGGTAGTTTCATAGTCTCTACTATACTTCGATGGTGTCTAATCTGGTTAAAAGATTAAAAAACCGACAATAAAGTACAAACCGACCTAAAAAAACTAAAAATTGAATAACTTTATTCCTCATTTATAAAAAAAATTGGACCTCTTTTAAAAATAAATCGGAAGCTGTCTTGTTAAGGGTAGAACGTGACTTTACAATACAATCTTAAAATTCCTTTAAATAGTTATCGCGAAAAAATCAGCTTTCGTACGTTCGTACTTGGATCAAAAATTTTTTTACGTGGAGTCCGAATTGAGATGGTTTTTCATATGTAATTTAATGCTCGACTGACGGCTTCTTTGGTCGAATCTCTAGTTTAATTCCCGGGGTGGGCAAAGAAAAGAGTGATTGGATTTTCCGTAAAGAAACATCATCTTAACTCATTCCTTATTGTGCGAGTCTCAAGTTTCACAAAACACTTTTTTTCACAGAATGTAACATTAAAATGTGCACTTCTACGCCTTCGAGATTCAAAGGCGTGCCATTATGTGATGTAATTTTAATCAAGTTCAACATGAACAAAGATAATGAAAAACTTATTTGTTCCAAACAACAAAGTAATTTTAATAACAGACAACAGATAAAGTATAATATTTGTATGTAAAACAAAGGGATTTTTATAAATATAATAACAATTGGCGCAACAATTTATTTATGTTCTCTTATCTGTCTTCCTAAGGGGAATAACTACTGACAAAATCATGTAGTGTTAACTAAATTTCATTAACAGAGAATAGAGGTCTTTGCCTCTTCCATAGTGAATAACAACACATAATATCTTCTTACACACACACCATTCCCCGAATATTGGTTTAAGGATTATTTGTTAAATCAAATGATGCGCCAGAACTTAGATCTGCATCTAGTGTCTAATATACTGACAGTCAAGGGGTTAATCCATTAATCAAGCAAGTTTAATATGCTCATAACATAAATAGTGAAAAGTGGGTGTTACATTGTTCAGTGCCATTAAGTGCCTGTACACCTCTACGCCTACCCCTTCGGGGATAAAAGGCTTGATGTTATGTATTATGTATGTAAGTTCAATATGCAATTTAAGTAAGCTAATAAGTTATTACTCTCAATAGGTACTGCAGAGTATAAAATTATATCAGCAATTTTTTTATCATAATTTTGTAACTGATAACAATATCAATTGCAGAGTAATTGAAACTTGTACAGAGCAAATTACATGAAAATTGGTAGCTTTTAATCTCTTTTAACTTGAAATACATTATCTTCAAATTAAATTGTTAGAATATTTTATACCTATTTAATTTTTAGTCTTAAAGGAGTCTTGTACAAATTGACATAGTTCAACCACCCACCTCTGCTTAGTAAAGGTGTAAATTCCCAACATCACTGACATCACATCATTTGTTGTGCTAGTGGCCCATCAAGGCATTCAAAGAGCCACTATATTAAAATTTTCACAACAACCATTTCTTGACACAGGTTGGTCAAGCCACTTGGTTCAAGCTTAGATTACCACCAATGGGAAATAGATTTTTTTTTAATAACAATCTTTTCACTTCTTTTATTAGATTTCTCTTGGTATTATAACGTGTATAATTAAGGTAAAACTATGATAAAACTAAACTTTGTTAGACAATTAAATTCAAAATTAAATAAATACTCCATTAATGTGGTGGTTAGTGGCTTTATAATGGTTAAATGGTTAATGGTATTATTTTGTCTCTAAATAGGTACTGTATAAACTATCCTTCTTCCTACTAATATTATTAATGTGAAAGCTTGTGAGTATGTATATGTTTATTACTCTTTTACAATAAAATTACTGTACGGATTTAGAATAAATTTAGTACAGAGATATAGTCTTGTTTCTAAAAATTTTTAACATGGATACCCAGGCAAAACTACTAGAAAAACTTGTAACTTATAATGGCATAAGACAGTGAACGAATTAACATAATTAGAAGCAGTGTCACTAATAAAGCTAAGTATTGGCAAATCAGTTTCACATTGTAATTTGCTGCACATCGTAATCTACACTATCTCTGCTCATATTCGTGGAACTCGCTGAAGATTTCGAGTTTTGATAATCGTAATCTACCTATTATTAAAGTATTACTACTGAAAAATAAAATGAGGAAAAGCGTGTCTAAGCCTTTCACGAATAATATCTAAACAAGTGATTACAAATAAAACTGATTTACATTTTTTCAGAAATCTTTACTTTTGTATTGATAATCTAAACAAAAAGAACTCTCCTGGGTAGTAAGTCATAAGCACTCAGACCTAATCACTAGTGATGTGAAGCAGTATGTACTATAAAATTGTTATGTAATACTTCCACATGGACATATTTTAAATTGCTTATGCTATTTAATATCTAAATGCTATATACAAACATTTAAACTAATGCTCAAACCGTTTGAACAGGATTGTGGATACGAAATTGGCGCGAATGAAGTAGAACGATAGCCATTAAACTACATAATAATTGAAATAAACAATGCGTATTATTACCTGATCTCTGCATATTGAAAATGCTAGGAATCCAATATTTAACCCAAAAACATTTCTTGAAACACCAATTCAACACACACTCTCAACGAACTGTCAACAATCTCACCCGCCCATGCACCGCGTAGAAATTGATTTTTGAATATTGTTGCCATTACGAAAAATATTTGCTATCACGTATCACAGTAAGAACAATAAGCGCGATAAAATAAAAAAATGTGATTATTACAAGAGAAAAACAAATATAAATAGTACCCCCGCTTACCTACCAAAGAAAAACGTAACGTACGTTGTAATACATATAATTTATTACTTATTTTAAATTAGGTATATAAAGTTATATTAATTTATATAATAGGAATGTATAAACAGGTAATTTGGTAACATACCATATTAAATAACGTTATAATCCGTAATTATAATTTTTCTTTGCCCAACTTTTAACAAAGACTCCAAACAAATTCCAATACAATCACAAATGACTTGATTTTGATTGTAAATCGGCATTTCGGCAACACTGCACAGCTAGTTATTCTGTTCTGTCAATTAAACAACACTAATGTTTGTTTTCTAATAAAAAAATAAGTTTTTGTTTGTGTATAATTTCGCCACAGAAATTATAATAAAAACAAAATAATACTCAAATCAATTCTTCTTCGAGTACTATAAGATTTTAAAGATAAACGTAATCGTGTTCGAAAATGAATATTTTTTTTAAGCTGCGTCCTGTGTCTTACAAATTTTTTCAAAGAATATTAAATCACGGCAAAATAAATATTACAAGTAATGCTAAGATAATACATCAGGTAAATATTTAATTAATTAGAAACGTAGATTTTTACCTTGCTACTGTTGCTATTGATTCTGTTATTAAACTTATATCCTTGTTATTGTTTTAGGATATTAGTTTACCTAATAAAATAATAATGTTATCTACGACATTATCTTTTATGTTATGGCCAATTAAAAGTAAAGATCCTGCCGAAAAATGCGCTCCTGAACATGTTCTGCCTATAGATGATGCGGATAAATTATTTGAAAATGGCCACTATGAAGAATGCTATAAATTACTAGCAGAGTTTCAGGTACCAGTATCTGCCAATGGAATATCATTTATTTAGAGAATATTTATAACAATACACAAATACACATCCAATTAATCTATGTGCCATAAAAAAAATGATGTGACAACTATACCAAATCATTTGATCCATGATTCCATGGTTACTGTTCATGGATACCCTTTTTGTTTCATAAGCATTTATACAAATCTAGGCTATAGCCTTGTATTTAGTACACTAAATATACATATTTGAAATATTTCCAGGACAAAGGTAATGTAGAAGTTCAATGGCGAATATGTCGAGCCTTATATAACATGTCAAAGGAATCTAAATACGACAAGCAATACAAAAACAATCTTGTTTGCCAAGCTTATGATTTAATATTGAAAGTATTAAATGATACTCAAGACCATTACGCTGTACACAAGTGGTATGCTTTACTGTTGGATGCTAAAAGTTCACTAGATGGCATCAAAGAGCGAATAAGACAATTAGAAAATGTGAAAAGGCATATGGATGTAAGTCATTATTATGTACTCGCATAATTATTATTTATATTTCAGTTTATTATTACTTAATGTAATTTTTTTTTTAAACAAATTTATTCCTTTCAATTTTACAAAGTTATGGCCTTAAATCTAAACTCGCCAAACTTTGACGTTTGATGGCGAGAGACACTAGAGAAAATGAACTCTTCACTTTGTAAATGTTTTTATTTTCAGATGGCAGTAACATTAAATCCTAATGATGCTACAATTTTGCATATGCTTGGTGAATGGTGTTACCAAATTGCCGAAATGCCCTGGCACCACAGAAAAATAGCTGAAGTTTTATTTGCTTCCCCGCCTTATTCAACATATGAAGAAGCATTAGAATACTTCTTAAAAGCGGAAGCAGTTCAGCCGAGATTTTACAGTATCAATTTGTTAAGACTCGGGAATTGCTATCTAAAATTAAAAAAAGAAGATCAAGCTAAATATTACTTGCAGCTAGCTGCAAGTTATCCAGCTAAATCAAATGATGACCACAAAGCTAATACTGAAGCAGCGGAATTGTTAAAAAAACTTAAATAGGCTGTTTGTTTTACTGTTTGTTATTAGTTATTTATAAGAATATTTTATTTACAATATAAACATTTCCATGACGTTTTTTTGTAATATAGGTAGGTACTTATTTTATATTAATAGAATCTTGAAGCTTAATAACTGTGCTATTTGTGATAATTTTTAAAATAACCTATGAATATAGGAAACCACAGACATGAGAATGTACCTAATATTAAATATTGATACTAAATACCTGTATAATATTGATTGATGATTTATATTTCTAGTTTAATTAGTTATTTTATTTTAAGTCCATAATTTATTTAATTTTATACTGTATTTAATAATCCAGATATTAAAACTATGACGCTTTCATACTTTTTTAAAATTATGTCCTGTAGGCTTTGATTAAAACTATATGTCTAATTAGACTGCCTCGTTGGCCGAGTGGTCGCAAGTGCGACTGCCGGGCAAGGGGTTGGGTTGGGTTTTTAAAAAATCTCAGTAGTAGCACGGAGTCTGGAATTAATGTGCCCAGTAGGTACATGGCAATGGGCTCACCCCCTATTACATGGGACTCGTTACATAAATAGTGAAAAGTGGGTGTTACATTGTACAGTGGCATAAGTGCCGTAATGTGCCTACACCTTCGGGGATAACAAGGAGTGATGTATAGCTTCACCATACAATAGCAACTAAAATCAAAAATGACGTTCCAAAATTTCTTGAATGTTTGCGTGCGGCTTGTGGTTACTAGTTTACCACGGACTCCGTGGTAAACTGGTAACCACACAAACTCCGTGCCACGGAGCAAAAATTATACCAGCTACAACAAAAATTTTCCCATCAAACTTATATCTCCCGCAAATATTTGGGTACTTAAACTAGATTATTTAGAAGTAAAATAAAAATTGTAACCATCTCTTTGAATTTGATTTTAAAGTTTTTTTGAATTTTATGGAGCAAGTATCTTTGCAGTATACTTTATTTTGTAGCGTGCATGTGCATACACGTAGCGACGCCTAGATGACACAATTGGTACTGCTTGACCAAAAAAAATGCATTGCAGTGAACAGTTCACTGCAAACTTTTGTTTGGGCCGCTTTTCGTGAACTGACACTCCATCTAGACATTATACATACTTATAATCAAAGCCTGCTATAAACAAAACAAAGACAACATCTGATTATTATTTCGTTAAGCTATGAGAAGTAACTACCCTACCCTACCCCTTAAAAAAATACTGCTGTATATTTCGGCTATACAGTATGACAAAACAACTGACTGTCTGACCATTGATTGGAAGGAAGGATGTCAAATTATAATAAAGTGAAAAGTTTCGAACGAAAAACCTTTTATAAGAAATGTTTCTAATGGCAACAATTGCTATTTTTTAAATTACATTTCATTTCAGAGTTGCTAGATTTGATTTCTTTTTTCAAAATAAAGTAAAAAAAATAACTAACAATAAAAATTTCTTCAATTTAAACAAAGCTACAATGCTATAGAAGGTTACTAAATTCTCAACAAATATGGTTATTCTGAAATTACTACTTTTAATATCCTAAATGGGCTCAATTGATGAATCTACTTTGATTTATTTACATTGGGGAAATTTTCAAACAGTATGGTAACCCTGTAAGTGCGGCGAAAATAAATGGCTGATGGCATTTGAAAGAAGTTCGTTATGTGTTATTTTCTGTGTGTAAAATATTATTTAATTGTAACAGCCATTATTTCATTTACTATTGTTTACTTTATTAAACGGTTCCTTTCCGCTAATATGTCCTTGAGTCAGTCAGATGAATTAAGTGACGATGAAGTGTTTTTCGGAAAACTGACTTTAAAAGAATTAAAGAAACATATATTATGGGATAAACGACAGAAAACGTAAGATAAACTATATTTATTGTATTATAATGTAACTACTTATTAATTTTACGTAGTACAACTATCACATTCACATACTTTTTGTTTTATGCTCAAAAGGGCGCTACATGAGGTAGGTAGCTAATTTTATTGTGGTCTATTGTGTCGGTTTGTACTTCTTACATCTTTCATCTCAGCACTCACCGCTAAATACTGACAGTATGCCTTAAACAACATAGATGCACATCACTTATATCAGATCAATTTAACTGAATTTAACTCAGCTCAAAGCTTATAGTAGACAGAATAAAGTTACAAAGTAAATTTAACCACCACATATATCAGTGGTCAAAAGTACAAAGAATTGTTTAAGTATGGATTCTGGAATAACACAACCATTTGAGTACCGTCATTATAGACACAATTACAGAACAATAGGTTGCGATGGTCACCGGTGTCCTCGCAGTGTCTGACAGTTTTGGACCTTTGTCCCTTCACAATTAACATAGCTAACTGTGTTACTTATCATCATTGCCAATCCTATAAGTTATTTAATTCATTTTATAAACTCGCATACTTACACATCTGCTTTTCATTTTAGAATTCATCCTGCAACTGTAATGAATAGCCCAATATGTTCTGATGATCCCAATGAAAGTTTAAAATTATTACAAGCTCATTCACAACCAAATCTACTTAATCACAGAGAAACATCTAATTGTAATGAATTTAATGAATCTGGGTTGGATGTGAAAGCTGTTGATGACAGTTTTATTCAAATGGAGGATATGGTGGAAAAATTATGTGTATCACCAAAAAAGATTGGAAATGCTGGGGAACTGAATAACACACTAGAAGTTATTGAATATATCTTAAATAATCCTCCTAGTAGTAGTAAAGATAAAACTGACAAAACTGAACTGAGTAATAAATATACTTCAACTAAGAATGAAGTTAATAAATCTCCAACAAAAAACCACAAGGAGGATAAAAGTAAAGAAGCATCCAAACCTCCAGAACCTCCTCAGAATACTCCTGTCAAAACTAATCATCAGATCCATAAACATACTGAAGGATTTTCAACACCAAGAGACATGAAACAAAAACCTATTTTTAAAACCCCAGCTCAACCTACATCACTTAAAAAACCTTCTGCTACTTCATTGAAGAAGACCCCTAGTCGATCTAATGCTTATCAGCATATTAGCAGCCCAGTTGCTTCATATATCAAAAACTGCCCTATTGTACCATTAGTAAAAGATGTCCATCCAAAAAAACCCTTGCCTGGGACTTCATCTATTCCAAAAATTATCAAGAACACTTTACCAGCAGCTAAACCAAGCAACAAGGAAAATGTGAACCTACCATCAGTTGCATACAAGAGTGCAAAGAAAACCAGAGTGGTAAGTTGTAACAAAAAGGAAAAAGATGTATTCTTGAGAACATACTAACTAAAGTACATCTCTGTCTCCATTTTCATCATTGTCATTGAAGTTACAATATTCATCATACATTTTATTTTTTCAGATTGACATGCCAGATGATCCGAAATTGCCACAGAGTCAATGGGCAAAGAAAATAATGACTAGTTTACCAAGACCACTGGTTATGAAGCATGATCACAGGGAGTTGAATTATGCCAAGAAAAAACTTATACCTCAACAAGAAGACAGTTTTGCTGATCTCTCATACCACCAGGCTGAAGTCTCTGTGTGCACACAGAAGTCTGCATTCAAGTCCAACAAAAATTTTTGAGTTATGTTGACTTAGTTGTATCCTATAATAATAATTATTTAACAGACTATTATGATTATGTATTTTATTATTAATTTCAAATTATACAGTGATGTTTTAATCTAGTTTATTTGTTTTATTACATTGCATTGAAATTCACATTCATCTCTCTGAAGTAGTAGTAGTAGTACTGAGTACTGATTATAATATTATAATGTTACTATTTTATTAGTAAGTAGGTACCTACCAAGGTTTGTTAATTGAATAAGTTTTATAAAACACACAATGATAGTAATTAACACTTTTATTTCATAAATGGTAATATCAAGTTCCTTATAAAAGTACATAATAAGAGTTTTAAAGGTGGTACAGTATGTGAGGCTCAGACGAAAAGAGCATTGAATGCTCATATCACAAACAATGTAATATTATTGAAAATTGTATAATGTTTGTGCAAAGTCTCATTGTGCAGGATTTGTATTTACTATCTATAACAATATTACACAAGATAAATGCATTTATCTTAAGGTTATGTACTACATGTTAACATTGTATATTCTTTAAATATGTACTAAAATAGTGAAGAATAGTTGAATATAGCAGGCACGTCCTATGCGACATTTCTTATTAGGTACATACATTTGGCTCTTACTAAAGAATACAATTATGCTTATGAGCCTTTTAAATATATATAGCTACATATAAAAATTTTTAGATCAATAAGTAAATACCAAATAGCATTTTTATAAAATAAGTAGTGTGTAATTGAAAATCCTGCATCAATATTTGAACTCATGCATACTGTGCTACTAAATTAGACCAACAGAAATAAGTACAAAGTTGTACTAAACAAGAGAAATAAATAATTATTTGTATTTTAACATTCCATGTAACTTTGGTAGGTCTATCTCTAGGCCTAAATTACACACATGTATACATATTTTTGTGTGTAAATTTGAAATACCTTGCATTGCTGGCCATGCCAGTTACGTATGAAACTAACCATCGACGAGATTCTGATTTCGACCAATTTACCAGTTTATAGATAAAAAAGGCTAGTAATTTTGTTGTTCAATATGTGAAAGCACTTTCATACTCGTCTCTTATATGACTAATACAGATAAATAAATGCGTTTTACGTCAAAGTACAAATAGTAATTCGTTTAGCACCTGTATAAAAAGCAGAAGTCACACTTAATTTTATAGTCTTAAAACTATTTCTAGGAAAAATGAACGCCGGTTAACACTAACATTCCGCAAAAATACACCTTTGACGTTATAGTTTCAAACTACTATAAACTGTACTGTAGTACACTTCTTCATTATATTATTATTATTAATCTAACAATGCAAGAAAAGAGTATAAAGCTCCATTTCGTATTGCAAAATACATTTGCAGGCACAACTTCATAAGTTTTATACACTGCTTGTCACAATATGGGGTTATTTGTCTCCTGACAATGGGTAATACACTAGTATACAGACATGGTGCAAGTTTATTATGGCTTGGCTCACACCAGTGATCTATTACGCAACATATTAATATATACAGAACACTAGGAAGAACAACTCTAAATATGCTCACGATTTTTGCACATTTGTAGTCAGGAATATAACACATGACAGCAGGGACAAAAAACAAAAAATGCAATACACAGCACGAATTGTAAAGACTAGAATAATAAAAGGAGGTTGCTGGAACATTCCATAACAGAATATACATGTATAGAAATGGTTGCATTGTTAAAAAAAAAAGTAAATGGATTTTAAAACTCATAAGTCATTTTGTAAAATATTAAAATTCCAAATAATTTAAGAGATTCTCATTGTGATTTAAATAATTTTCAATAAATCATTTACAAAGTTCTATTGTAATTATTGTCACATAAAACCACACTTATGTTTATATAAATTAGGTGAGTTAGCCTGCTTAACAATGGATTCATAACAATGATCCATACATCCACTAATTTGATTAGTGGACTTTATAGTCGACTAGCAGCATTCATACCAAATAGACTAAGCTCATTTGACTACATGAGATAATGTATTCGAGATAGTTCTGGTGATTATATCTTATAATAATACATAAGTGTGACATTATGTAGTTATATATAAAGAATAATAAAATTTGCATTAAAAAAGATCACAATAACGTAAATAATCACTTTAAGCTTACATAACTATTTAGTGCGTATAACTTTAACATAATAAACAAGAAATTATAATATTCTCATAAGTTTAAACACGCATGCTTTTAATATTAATGTAATAAGTGGCGACGCCAGATCTAAAATCAAGTATATTTTATTTTCCAATGTTTAGATCCAATACCATTTTTAAAGTGGACCAAACGTGTGTCTGTTTTTCGCTTCAAAGCATGCAAATTGATGGATGGACGGCTCATAAATCGACTCAATTCATGAAAGAATTAGATTGAAAATAAAACAGAGCGCTATTTTAGTCAGATCTTGCGCAATCAGCCATACCAAACGTCGGCATCGCCATAAACTATATGTATGTTAGTATAAAAGTTAGAGATTCTTTAAATCATTAAAGTATAACCAAGTAAATAAGTAATCCAAAAATAAAAACAATTAAAAAATATAGACATATCAAAATTTCACAGGTTATAATGGCGGATTACATCCCGCCTGAGTGTGAATCCTTACGTACATCATCCTTACAGCATACCAGGACGGTCTGTCTCCTGGTTTCCAGACTTCTCAAAGAACATGAAGTCCTGAAAAGAAATATTTTACTTAGTATGAATAATAATCATTAAATGGCGAATTACAAATAAGGAAGTAATGTTAATTGTTCATTTCAATGTTACTACCAGCTAAACATTTTTCATAGGAGAGAAAATCATCCAATGACTTCTCTCGTCTTGGGGGAGGCGAGAGGGTGTGTATCGAACTCATATGCCTAAAAACACCCCCGTTCTTAATCTAGCTTCGAGCCGGAACCATGGAAATCGCAGCTTCGGAACAACTTAACAAATGAAAGAAAGAGCAAAATATGGTGTTGCTTCTAGAAAGAAAATTTGAATACCTACATTAAAAATTACTTCAATAACATGACACGCTTCAAGTATTGCCTAGGCTATCTGGTATTTTATCAATTGAATGACAGCATTAGTGTCCTTTATCAATCAATGTATGTATGGTAGTTTATCAAACCGTTTAAATCCATGTATGTAAACAGTGTCAACGTACACTAAACTGCACTTTAGTCTATGGTTTATTGATAAACCTCACACAAAGCAATCAAAATAAACTACATTCTTTTTAATTACTAACCTTCTCATTATGGCGTACAATTTTGTACCATAACATTAAACTAGATATCACCATATTTGATGACATGTTATAAATTACACTATTGTTCAATAGACTACCATTAGCACATTAGCCTAAAGAAACTCGATGATTAATGCTTGTTAAACATTATTATAATTGTATTAGCTACCAGGACCCTGACTTCATACAACCTCAGTCAATTAACTTGAAACTTTAATTAGTCACAAACTTCTACTTTATTAATGAATCATTCTGTTTATTGGCAAATTCAGTATGAAGTTTTGTTCTGCACTTTTTCACGATATCACGTCTTATAATAGTAATTTCTTATGTAGTACGCAATGAAGAGCTCCTGCTCAACTCAATTACGATCAGAACGTGAAGAGAGGTTTATACTTACAATGAGGAAGCAAGCTCCCAAAAGAACGGCCTTTATTTTGACATCCAGATCCATAGGGAAAGTGATTCCGAAGTAATCAGAATCAGTGAATGCCTCCCGCGCCAAACCTGACCATTGTTTCGTAATCTTACCAACTTTAGTTTCTCCATCCTTGGAGTAAACCTGAAATTATAATATAAAGATTTTATTGTCTGTGTAAAAACCCTTCTGTCTAATCAATAAATCTATGTAAAATTAAATTATTTTGTGAATGGTTCTCTACCACCCCTAAACGGTTAAGGTACTTACATGAAATTCAACATCTCCACAAATGGAGAATGTGCACAACGGTCCCTTGATTCTCAGGACAACGTCACCTGCAGCGTTTTTAATGACGTAACAGGGCTTGCAAATAGACCATTCTTGTTCAATGGAGCCAATCACAGTGCCTGGTGGGGCAGAGACCTCCATGCTTTGCAGCCAGCATGGGCACCAGCACGAATCACAAGCCAGTGGACGATGGAGGTGGATGACCTGTTTTAATACAAACAATATATTTATTCTTTATTGTGAAACTGTTATGTGGCTGGGCAATTGGCTGCCGCACAACGTGTCGCGGGTTCGATTCCCGCACGGAACAACTCTTTGTGTGTTCCACAGATTGTTGTTCCGAGTCTGGGTGTCATGTGTATGTGAACTTGTGTGTTTGTAAACGCACCCACGACACAGGAGAAAATCCTAGTGTGGAGCAACGTATTTAAAAAAAAAATAGTAGCTGTCATTACTAATAGCTAACATTCCAATAAAAGGGCTAAATTAATTAATATTATTGCGCATGCATACAAATATGTAAATGTATTTTAATGTATTAATATGGTAAGTACATAGTAAATTCGCGCACTTTTGCAGCGGCACTAGAAACAGGTCGGAACAAAACTAATAGTAGTCAAGGCCAGTCAGTAATTGTTATTTGAATTTAGCAAACCATGACGAGAATTTTGACCTTCAATGCAAGAGAAATAAATAGCGTATGTTTTAGAGTTATCTCATCAGTATGGCGGAGATAACACAGTAGGAAATTATTCAATAATGTATCTGTCAAATACACATTGCGTTAATATTTTAACTTTCGTGTACATACTATAAAAAAACTGTTATGTAAATTCTATTAGCTATGCAAATACAACTTGTTAGCTGTGTGGTTGTAAAAATTTACCTCATTCCTGAAATTATCCATGATTTTCATGTCGAAAGGTCGCATAGGTCCACAGCAGTTTCTGGTACAGCAATCATTGTCTTCCACAGCATAGTAAACTTTTTGGCCAACACTATTTTTCACTGTGTACTTGTTGTTGGTCTCAAAACCCACAAATGCCTCCAAAAGCTCCACCTTTTGATGTACCAGTAATCCATCAATCATAGAAAGGTATTCCAATCCTGGTGGACAATTGCTGAGCCCTTGCGGTACTGTCATCCATCCACCTGAAAATAATTAAAAAAAAATAAATGTAACAAACTATTAGGGCGAATAGATTACTAATAGTCTGATAAGCAAATAAAAACATTTTATACTGCCTCACTGGTCGCGTGGATGTAAGTGCGACTAGGAAATCATATAAACGTAATAAATGTTACTTAGCATAATCTATACATATAATAAATTATGTATAAAGTAAAATAAATTAGGTACCTGTTAGTTTTTGTTTTATATTTTAGAAACAAGACATGACAACACACGTAAGAAAGAATATATAAGTAGGTATGAGTAGAAGAATTAAGATAGATTAGTAAACACCCTCCACCAAACTATGATCGGTAGTAAAATAAAACCTTTTCTCTTCATCTGATAGAAACTTTTCATAACCACTTGTAGGAGATTTAAACAACTTTCTACAAATTCTATTCAAGCTTCTTTTAACACTAGAAACACTCAGTGTTTCAAAATAAACACTTTTATGGCGGATACTGCCAATAGCTACACACTTCTTTTTGTTTGAATAATATTTGCTTTTTAACCACTTGATACACTTTTTACCATTCTTATTATCAGAATCATCTGAGAATAAATTTAAGTTAGTATTAATGTCTTTCGACATAGTGCAAGATATTTAGAAAAATATATTTAGAAGTATTAACCACTCAGTATAATACCACTGAACATACTGCAACACCAACATTTTATCAATAGTCTTGTAGCAAAGGTATCATTGCACAAACAGTAAACACCCTTATCTGAGTAGAAGTCAACAACTTCTATGTGTAAAGAACAAATATGACAGATCAAATACAACAATGAATGACAATGTTAAGAAATTATTGTCTTTATGTAATAAAATTAAATGCTATAGTTACTGTCTAATATACTTACATCTCAAGTCAGTAAGTAATAAAGCTAATAAATAGTAATACATTTCATAGCTATCTATTCTCTATAATCTATTACCAGAGTTTGATTGAACACACTAATCTTTAGAACTATTGGTCCGAAATGAATAATTCTTTTTGTGTCTAATAGGCCATTCTTAGGATATAAAAATTATGTTGCGAACAATAGGAGTTGAGCAGCAGGTGAAACCGCGCGGGAACGGATAGTATTATATACCGCTAATAAAATAACTATGTTACAATCATTTACAATGTGCAATTATACATACTTAGTCTTTACCCCAACCATTAACAACATTACTGTATTTGATATCTAAAATCAGGACTCATGCAGACATCTATATATATAAAAGTAAGTCATGTTAGTTACATCACTTATAACTCAAGAATGGCAGAATAGATTTGGCTGAAAATTGGTAGGGAGGTAGCTTAGAGCCAGGAGACATACTTTTTAACAAACATTTTTTTTTACTTTTTACCGAAAATCACGAACGGGGACGGGAAAAAATGGGATTACGCGTACGAAGTCGCGGGCAGAAGCTAGTTTTAGATAAATAAATAAATATTCCTAGGTACTTAAGAACAGTAGAGTAAAAAAGTAGTAACTCATATTTAAATAAACTTCTGCTAATGTGTTACAAACTAGGATTATAAAACACTTATTTGTGTACAATTTTAGAAATATTGAAGTGAATAGTTTATAAACTGTCAAACACCAAGCGGTCACCGGTGACCGCGACCCATTGTTCTTTAATTGTGTCTATAAAAGCGGTACTCAACGAGTTAATTCAATATTTAGTTTACACTGTCTCACTGTCGCAAGTGCGACTGCCGGGCAAGGGGTCGCGGGTGGATTCCCAGGTCGGGCAAAGTATTATTACTGGGTTTTAAAAAAATCTTAGTGGTAGCACGGAGTCTGGAATTGTGCCCGGTATATGGCAAAAGGTTCACCCCCTATTACATAAGACTCATAATATAAATTACTTAAAAGTGGGCACTACAATATATGGCAATAGGCTCTCCCCCTATTACATGGGACTCATAACATAAATAGTGAAAAGTGGGTGTTACATTGTACAGTGGTATAATGTGCACCTCTGTCTACCCCTTCGGGGATAAAAGGCATTATGTGTGTCAATATTTAGTTTAAAACTTTTTATTGAATATTGTTTTTTTCTCTATAAATTAATAATAACTAAAAAATGAAGAACAGAGAAATATGTAAACAGTGATATGCCTTTAGTATGGATTTATCATGTTTGTATATATATTTATTATTTCAATAATAACTCAAAAATATAAACCATGGCAGACAGACAATAAAGTTCTAGGTTTTTTGTGGTTTAGAACATGTTCCATATTATGTATTGTGGTTTTATCAATATTATTTATCATTTGAAAGTACATTACTAGTTAGGTAAATTAAACAATGAAACTTTCTAAAAATAAGTGTTATTTTAAAGATTAAAGATGGTATAGTGATGGAGGTATGAGCTTACCTGGTGGCACTTGAGGACCGGGCTGTTGAACTACAGGTCCAGGTGGACCATAGCCCGGCTGTGGGTAGCCTGGCTGAGGATACCCTGGTTGAGGATGAGGGTATCCCGGTTGGAAGCCAGGTTGAAATCCAGGTTGGAACCCGGGCTGCATTCCTGGTAAAGGTTGGGCTCCAGGTGGAAGTTGGGGTCCTGGAGGTGGAGGGCCAGGGTATCCTCCTTGTGGATTCATGGGATAGCCCTCTTTACTGTCAGGAGGCGGAGCATATCCTTGAGACGGGGGGAAATTTGGGGAATAAGGTGTTGGTTTGTGCGACATTTTTATCTAATAAACAAAAAGAAAAGTTCAATTAAAACATACACGTTCATATTTTATTTCTACAGCGCTATAATTAATTCGTGTAATTTTAGTTAGTGCCCCTAATGACCTTTTTAATCAACTAATATTAGTTGTTGCGAATGCTAGATTTCGGCCGGTGCCGCGCCTATCATGAATCAGTGAATACCTACTGTAAATGAAAAGCTATTCATATATTACTAGTCTAAATTAAGCTCTAGGAAGCGAAACTGAAAATAGTAGCCAATAGAATAGTAAAGTTATAAAGCTAACGCGATTAGCATTTTTTGTGAAAAATGTCTCATGTGTATGTATTCTGTGAAATATGATACAAGTTTGAAATGAGCACAATAAGAATGATCTTATGATTACACAAATAAAAAATTAAACAACAAATTTTAACTTACTTCGGATTATTCAGGACAAATTGTTTATTTTTCGGCTTGGTTTGTCACAAAATTTTGTGACCGATCGTAAATGAGATGGCCATAAGAAATAGACCGCAGTTGTAGGACAAGTACCGAATCATTTAAAATATTTCAAGTCCAAATAATTTTTTATTCTTAATTTAGTTGATCTATACAAATAAATTCATTTTATATGAAATAAAAAAAAACATTGAAACAACAGTTTGTTTTTAATTAATTTTCCTTATCAGTTTTTATTTTTGTCTATGCCTACATTTAATGTTTTCGAACGAAACGCAGTCTAAGCAACCTAACAATATAAACAGTATCCGGTAGAATGTTGCAATAACTAGACAAAATAAAGAAATAGCAGAAAAATCTGTGTAACGTTTTCTATTTTAAGAGCTCTATTTTACACATTTAAAAGCTGAAACACTATAATAGCAACTAAGATTTTTTGCTTTACTTTTATTGTCATATTTAATTTGGCAGTGTTACCATTAACATATTGTATAAAACGTTGATAAAGATCACCAGTGCTTTCCATAGGTAATATTGAGAAAATAAATTATCATAATATAAACTGTCAGTGATTATAATATCGGTGAGAGAAGAATAAACAATAACACATTTAAATACTACATTTGAATGTTTTTACTACTTGGTAGAATTGAAGAAATTGTGCTGGCAACATCAGTATCCGTTTGGTACTATTTTCCATTCACCAATCAAACCATTGCAATAAGGTGCATTGACCAACCTGCTGCTGCTGCTGAATCTAGCCAGCAGTGAACAAGTCAGTTGGTAGATGTTTGCTTCCGCGTTTGTATCTTTGAAGTAACTACCACCGCGATGCAGTCGAAGTTGTTTTGCCACTCATCTAACTAAAATGGCGTCGGTGTTTATCAATTAGCTTGCTCTATGTGTACATTACTCAGTGATCGTATCCGAGTGAGTCATAAACCAACATAGCAATGACATTTTTATAGCACATAGTGAGAATACGTTTCTAAAACGTTGTGTGTAGACTGGCAAGTGTGATTTGAGGAACATAATAATGCGCGAATTCAAAGTGGTCGTGTTGGGCTCGGGTGGGGTCGGAAAAAGTGCTTTGACTGTGCAGTTCGTGTCAGGATGTTTCATGGAGAAATATGACCCCACAATAGAAGACTTCTATAGGAAAGAAATAGAAGTGGACAATTCACCATGTGTTTTAGAAATATTGGATACCGCCGGCACGGAACAATTCGCTTCAATGCGAGACCTGTACATAAAAAACGGACAAGGATTCGTCGTAGTATATTCATTAACGAATCATCAAACGTTTCAAGACATCAAACCAATGAAGGAATTGATAACACGCGTGAAAGGATCTGAGCGCGTGCCCATTCTGTTGGTGGGCAACAAAGCCGACTTGGAGCACCAGCGTGAGGTGTCGAATGCAGAGGGCTCGGCGCTCGCGCAGATGTGGGGCTGCCCCTTTGTGGAGGCCTCCGCCAAGAGCCGCACCAACGTTAATGAGATGTTTGCCGAAATTGTGCGTGAAATGAACGTTAGCCCTGAAAAAGAAAAGAAAACTTATTGTTGTTGTACAGTGCTTTAATATTTAGAGTGTAATGTGGCATTTATTTCTCGTAAGACTGCAAAAGCGAGGCAGGATTGTGTCTGCCTCCGCTCGACGGCCGATCGCCTCCAGTGGGGAGCTCGGCGACGGCGCGCCGGCCCCGGCCGCTGGGGCTCCGGCGGTCGCGAAGCGCGTCATATCACATTGTTAATATCGTTGATACATACCATTGTCCAATCAAGGTGCTTTACTTATATTTTCATACTTTATTACTGGTAGATACTCCCGCAATATGGTTATAACGTGAACAAAAATCCTTATTGGAAGCATAAATAGCTATTCAATTCAAATGCAAATAAAACAAAGCTTGATTTTGTTTGTGATGATATTTTCAGACACTAGCAACAGCCGTGTCTGTACCAAAAACATGTATTGTAAAGTAATGTTAGTCAACTTTGTATATATTATAATTTCATGAGATTAATGATGTTGAAGGGCAAGGACAATTTAGAAAATTAAAAAGCCATCCAATATGCAATAAACTAATGATTGTGTAGAGTGGTGTGCGAGAATGAGTAAGAACTTACACCTAAGTGATGTCGCAGATTATATTTTATTGTGTAAATTATGTTTATATGAAAATCAGTAATCAAGGAAAGCAGTATGTTTTGTCAGTTGCGTGATTGTGTTTTAAAGTCTACCAGGATTTGTGATAATACATATAACAAAATACCTATAATAAAAGTTTTAAGTGGGAGATTGAAAAGTGAAGTTTTATTCTTCAGTAAATAAGGTAACCAATCCATTTTGATATTACACAATTTACATAATATATTTTAGTACAAACAGTGAAATAACACTTGTATTTACATTCTAGAGACAACTTACAAACATAAGTTTATGCAATTCTATAATAATCAAATTGTTCTTTTTATGTGGTTTAACTAAATGTTGTCTTGGTAGCATTTTGTATACTAGGAATACTATTTATAATAATTATACCAATAAAATTTGTGATATGAATAGAATGCGAATAAATTACAATTGCATTTCAATTTAGTCATTTAATGTATGTTTACATATTTTCATTTTTATCTATTGAAACACTTTTGTTTATTAGTATCCTTTCTCTTTAAAGTAATTGTTTTCTCTTTAATTTCATTTTATGTAGATAGCACCGGACAATTATAGGTAATTAATTGCCCAGTGCATACCGAGTGAGCACTCAACTGTGCTGATCATATCATCTATAACATGGATTGTGTTGCAGTCTGTGCAAACTAGTATGACATTGTTACTGATAGTAAACAGTCTCACTGATAGATTTTAATTAGATGAATAATAATTACTATTATGCAATTTGAAATGTTTGTGGGTTCTTAGATCATTTTGTTTCCATGTTTGGTAAGCAACAAGTCAGAATTATGTTTCATTGTTTTCAATTGGCCTATGCTAACTTTTATAGACCAAATTATTTTGTTATTTATGCAACAAGCTGAAATATGCCTAGTGCACTCGGCTTTAAGTGCATTAATTAGTTGGAATATTGTTGCATTAAAACGCGACGGTTCCTTGTGGCAATCGCCAAGTGGCACGGGTAAACGACTGGGCTCTTGGCGCGTGCTGTTAAACGGTAACCAGCTGTTGGACCGTGACGTACGGTGAGCGCAACCATCCTCGTTTCTGCAATAACTACTCATCTACTTTATTATTGCCTTAATATTTACGCTTAATTAATTGTTTCCAGCTAGGCTGTTACGGGCATTTTAACGTTAGTTTTTGGCTGTGCAAGCATTTACGTTTAGATATATTATCAAGGTATCTAATACATAAGATTATTGAAAAACAGCACGACCTAAACCTTTAAAACTTCGATCTCTAACCCAAGCGTGGAGATTATGTCAAAATCCTCTTTTGTAGAAGAGGTCAATTGTCTAGCAATAGACGCACGCCTCAAAAAATGTATTTTTTTGGCATTACTCTTTTGAATTCAGTTGCGTAGGTAATTGAAATTCGTAAATAAACCAATTCCTTAACCTGTACTGACCGTCACAATCTATGGCTCAAGTGGCACGTTATCGAGTTTAAGGCCATGCTTCGATTACTTTAGTCTTTTCGTGCGCTACCACTGGTGATGTGCCGTTACTGGCCCAGATAGGAACTAATTCGCCCGGACGTTGATGGGAGGGTGTTGTAATATGTTTATTTCCCTGTGAATCGATTAGTTACAAGCCACTGAGTGCATCTCCATCTTGAATGATTGATGTAAGCAGGACTTGAAAGTTTTGTTGAAATTAATCATGGGCGCGTTTATGCCACTGTTGGCACTGAATAAATGAATACCTGTATGTATGTATTGTCTGCAACTTTATTGAGGAGGTAAATACAATATTTATACTGAAATATCCTTAATGACTGGTGTCTATCATACTGATGTGTTGTTTGGTTTGTTCCATGAAATAATACAATTCTCCCTTCAATCACAGCCATAAGAGTTGGTCAAAATCTTTTTGATTAATACTTAAGTCTAGGGTTAGTGCTCTATACAGAGATCTTGTATACGAGTAGGGTGAATAGGTGGATCATTTTGTACAACTGTTGAATTACTAGGATGCAGTTCGTCGTCACGTGTACGTGACGTAAGTAATTGGCGCCCTGAGAATATACGTAGATGCCGTTGGCTCTATCTTTTATTACCGTTTAACGACTCTCCGCTCGTGTCTCAGGCTTCTACAGAGGGTTTGTTAAACCTAATACTACTTAAAACGTATAAACTATGTTTATAATGTGGTTTATTGCAACATTGCTTAACATCATCCTGTGTAAATTTAGGAAACTAAATAGATTTATACGTTTTGTTAATAGAATTGTACGTTCAAGCAGAAACTGCTAGATTTAAGCTAGTAAATTTAGTCGGTACATATTATAGACACATCCTCGTCCTCATTAACATCCTTCCAAACAACAAAATCAAAGCAGGGTTTCCCTTACAATGTTACAAACATCTATTACTAAACTTTGTGTCATTCTTAACTGACTGTCCTCTTTATGTCTTCGTAAACACTTCATTAAAAAGGATCATCTCTGTTAGATTATGCTTAGAATTAGCTGTGTAGGAACCGGTAGCTAAGTATAACTAACTACATACGATTTTAGTTATACTGCCAGACGAGTAGCTAGTGCCGCGGGGCGCTGCGTTATTGATTGCATTACACAAAGGGAAATACACATAGTTTCCCCTCGCTTCGCCTAGCTTTCATACCTTTACTGCTGAATGTACATAAATTGTCGAATCAAAACGTGTTGTCATTGTTCTCAATCCTACATATTATTCTTTTTAATACATTCATTTTATTGATCTAAATATAAATTGAAAATGCCAATTGGACATTTGGCGTGTAATCTAGAATCGAATATTTCATTGAAATATTAATTACCAAACTGCAGTGCCAAGGAATTTACAGTTTACGATCAAGTAGAACAGGTAGAAAGAACCTCTAGATGCAGGTATAAAAATGGAACAATTTGAAGAACCTATTTTGGCCGCTGGTCAGGACCAAAGCTTTGAAAGGGATCTGCGAAGTGGACGGGGCTTTAATAATATACCCAGTGCACTTGAGCTCTCAACTTGTTTATTCATTCAGTGTAATCAAGTCACATTGTACGTCCATTTTCGCATGCCCATCAATGTTAACTTTTGTTTATAATGTAGGTAGGTATCTATCCTTTTTTTTAAGGGAGGAAAATCTTCGAATGTCTGTTTCCGCCTGGGTGAGGCGGGAGGGAGTGTCAGACTCTTACTGACTTAAAACGACCCAGGTTCTTCTGCCGTTAGCTTCTAATCTAAATCTGTATCAGGAATTTGTGCAATAATATAGCCCAGTACATAACTTCTAATTTCAATCGTTTGTAATGGTTTAGCCTTATTTCTTGTCGCGGAGAACCTAACGGGTAACCGGGGCTCCGGCTCGACGTGCAGGAGAAGGAACGGGGTGGTTTTTAGTCAGTAAGAGTCTGACACTCCCTTCCGCCTCACCCAGGCGGGAGCAGTCATTCGATGATTTACCCCCCTTAAAAAAAAAAGCCTTATTTCTTATTAACGGTGAAAGATCTGGTTGATATAAAAGTTAATTAAATAGACCAATACACTTATACATGACAATCATTTTAAAGGTTGAATGGAGAGGCAAAGGTGACCTTGCAATAAGCCTATATTTGAACATTCTTATTATTTCTATTGGGAATCTAGTAAACACTAGACTGAGCAATTTGAAAATCGAAAACCATAGGTATTTGTAATACTCCGCATTTGCGCTATTAATGCGTGCGTGCGGTATACATTTTCAAAACATTTTGGGAGGGTAGATGAAACCAGCCCTATGTTCATTGTCATTAGTTTAATGTGTTTGTAATTAATTAGTATATGCTTGAAGTACTATCGGTAAGTATTCAATTTGAAAAATGCTTTGAAAGGATTATTGCTTTCTTGATTTGAAAATATTTTCGAGGAGCATGCAAGGTCTCGCCTGGAATAGATGCGTCTCAGCGAGTCTCCCGCGCACCTCGCGAGTAGCTGCTGCGTGTGGGGCGTCTATAAATACTCTTCATAACATACGCTACGTCCGTTCAATAAAAATTATACTATAACGTTGAGTAACACAACTCAAGTGCTGCGAATATAATAACTACTAGTCCCTTCCCTTCCCGCTACACAAAACAAATCCTCTTGAAATCTGTTACCAGAATATTGTTAACACTAGCACAGCATGCAGTTTCAAATAATGAAACCGTTGTTTATTTACACAGTTCGTACTTACAAACGACAGAATGGCTGTTCTCCACTGTTCTCATGACTTGAACGTTCTCATGGAAACAATCAATGCGGGTGCGGAGGTATTATTACATTGAATGCTTTTAATTTAACATCAAATATGTGCTTTCATGTCATGAATGGAATTTATAGTCTGCGTAGCATTTGTTTTTACACAACACCGTTAGGAATGGGTTTAATTTTATAAGTATAGGCATTTACTTAAATA